TTATATACTGCACAACTTTTTTTATGTTTTGTATTTTGTATAAATGTTCTGTTTATTGAAAATTATGTGCTTTTATTGAGCTTGTCAACAAAACGGTTGTCATTTTTGGACAAAGTTTCTGTATTCTGTATTCTATATTATTATTATTAGAAAGCGTTCATGGTACCCTCTCCGATTTCGAAAACTACTTTAATCTAATATTTATTATTTTGTTTTATTATATTAATACCCCACAATGTATAGTTCCTTTAGGTTGGTTTGCTGGTCATTCGACCTTAGTGGAGTGACGTTGCTACCCCATGATGGATAGTTACTATTAGTATTGTATGTTTGCTGTTTAATTGTGTTTGTGCAGATATTGACCCTAGAAATTGAACAGAAATGATGATAAAGATATTATTTTTAATAATATGATACAATACAATTTTATATGCTTGTTTGTAGGAGAATATTATATACAAACAATCAATATTAAAATACTTATTTACTCATATCTTCATCGTCGTCAATAGTTTGTCTATAATCGGCACTGATTTCCAGTCCCCGAGTTCCAGTCTAAGGTAGATGTTTCACTGTGAAATTATAACATATTGATTACTGTCATTTAACATTATTAATATATTTTCTCAAGCATCGGATGATCACATATGCAAGAAGAATATCAATAATCACATTTTGAATCATATAATTAAAAATGTAATATTACATAGAATATGAGTATAGTGACTCCGAAAAATGACAGACGTGAGGCCATAGTTGATTCTACCTTTCGTTCTTTATTGGAACATCGTCAAGAATGAATAGTTTAAGTCCAAAAATACTGAAAAACATACCAAGAATCAATACAAGATAAATTTTGACCAATTAGAAAGAGGTAGGCGGAACATGGAGACAAATGATATTCTGATAAATAAATTGATAAACAAAATAAGATTGTGATAAACAAAATGATTATTTTAGAACAAAAGCAAGTTAGCAATTATGCTATGTGAGTAATGCAAGCTCTTTAGAGGCTCTGAGACCATAGTTTAGACTAGGCTTGTATCTTCTTATTGCTAAGGCTTCAGCAAATAAAATTTCAGACCAATGTACAGAACCATGAATAATATTAATATTTTCAAATAATAAGGACCCAATAAGAGATTGTTTGGTTGTATTGATGTCAGCCGTCATAAGATGTAGACCAATTATATGGTTAAAACTTTCACAACTCTCAATGTGTTCATGTACACTACTGTTTACATTACGAGAATGTTCAACAGCTCCAACTTTTAAGCATCTATTTGTTTTGCCTATATAACTGTCGAGGGATCCAGGACATTTGAATTTATATATAAAGAGCTACAATACTCTTTTGGCGTCCGATCCTTATTAGAAGTAAAATATGAAATTTGTTTGGTTTGCCAGAGCGTAACAAATTTAACATTCTTAGTCAGGTGTCTACTTATCTTTTTAATACATTTATGGATAATAAAGCTACCTTACTTACCAATGAAAGGTAAGCGCATCCAAATTTTCGGCCTATTATCAATATTATCAGTTACATTATTCTGGATATTTAGATTAGAAAGAATACGATGGAAAATATACTTAGGGAAACCATTCCATGATACCAGTTTCTTAATCATGTCAACCTCTTTATCCAATGATGAACCAGGGGAACATATTCTATGTGCCCTGTACAAAAGGCTACGTATCCAAGACACCTTATGCGCCCATGGAACAATACTCTCAAAATGAGCATATTTCCCTGTATGGGTACCCTTCCGATAAATACCCATAGTACCTTGCATATCAAAAGAAATATCAAGAAAATGAATATTAGCAGAATTCTCAAAAGACTCAAATATGAACTTAATATTACGATGAAAAGAATTAAATAAATAGTATATAATTAAAATCAGAAGGCTTAGCAAGCAACAGAGTATCGTGTACAAAACGCGTGTAGAATTGAACAGTGCCGTCATTAACCAAATCAGGAATTAACGATTGCTCAAGCTCAGTCATGATAATGTTGGCCAAAACCGGGCCTAACGGAGAACCCATTGATACACCGTCAATTTGCTTATAAAGCTGATTATTACAGGAAAAAATAGATTTAGTACACGCATCTTTGAGAAGCTTACGTAAGGTATTCTTCTTTAGATCAGTTACTATTAATTTCTTAACATAAACCCTGTCTAATATTACATCAATGACTTTATTAAGAGGAACATTTGCAAATAAGGATTGAACATCAAATGAAACAAATCGATACCCTTCTGAATATAAATGATTCGGAATGTTCTTAATACGGTTAGCTGCATCAAATGAGTCTTTCAGGACAAAATCATTCTGGGTTAATGGAAACAACAGTTCAGCTAGAAATTTTGCAACAGGATAGTATGCCGTGCCTGTGGTGTCAATTATAGGTCGAAGCGGTGGAATAGAATCAAAATCCTTAAGCGTTTTCGGTAAGCCATGTGCTCGCGCGGGCCTTGTTGATGTAGGCTACATTCTTGCATATTCTTCATCATTTATTCCACCTCTTTTATGAATAGTTCTCAGTTAGTTTTGTAGGGTGTTTAACTCAGTGATTAATGATCTGTTGTTATATTTCTTGAACTTGTGCTCATCAGCGAACAGATCAGTAAGCGAATTGAGATAATCATATTTGTTTAGAAAAACAACACCGGTTCCTCTGTCAGGTTTCAGAATAGCAAATCTAGATCTAAGGTCCTTAAGTATTTTAGTACGCTTAGCATCAATAGATAATTGCTTACTATCAAAATCAAGGAAGTTGCAAGCCATAGCACGTATTGAATTTTTTATTTTCTCTCTCTTGATAAACGATGATGGAAGGGCTCCAGAAGAATTGAGTTGGTCCCAGATGAATTCGGCATGAATGAACCATGGAGGAATACCTCCATGAATGAACATAGCTTCTTTAGGAGCGGTGGCTAGGACTTGTTTCAGACCAAAGGTTAAAACAGCTTCTTCCTCATGTGTCAGTGAAACACCAGTCAAATTGGTAATAATCTGGTTGGGATTTCGTACAGACCCGTTAATAATGGAATACTCCCGAAGAAGGCTTCGCATCTTCTTGGCATGACGAAGTTTAACCTTGACCATTTCTTTTTCAACACATCTTTTAGCATGGACTTTTAACAAAGATGCTTTTATCCATGTGGTTGAGCTCATCAAGTTAGATTCAGCAGTGGGTAGATGACGCTTAATCGACTGAAGTTCAGAGTGCTTGCACTTAATCTCATCTCTAAGTATCGTGCGGATATTTATTTCGTAGGTGTACATGTATATTTAAATATTAGATTAACATTTAAATTATTTAGTATTTTACACTTTCTGGTAAATTATTGTGAATAAATTATGTAAATGTCACAATTATTACTGCGAGTCCTATTCATCCTTTAAATTTAGTGGCAAGTTGTAACTACTGTATAATCATCCTGAGATTTGCTTTGAAGCATGCGCAATCCGTAATCTCCGTGGCAGCCCCATAAGACACACTCGCCGACCTTTACAACATAGGACATACGCGCTTTTGACACATTAAGCGTGATATATATATATATATATATATATATATATAGATATATAGATATAATAGGACTTTATTCGTTAGAAAGCTACAGGGTAGCCTACAATGTTCCATCATGTCCTTATTTAAACACTGTATATGTACCTTTGATGATTTATATTATATATAGATATATAGAGATATAATGTATAATGTTAGATATATAATGTTAGAGAACACGGGCACCAGTTGTGTAAGTGGAGCATCATTTCTGTATGTTTACATACATATAATCTGTGGCGTATCTAGGAATCTTGAAATAGGGGTGGGGGAATGCAGAGGTGAAGTGGGGGATCAATGATTAAGTGAGGGAATGCTATGTCTAAAAATAAGGTAGTAAGGTGATTTTTAACTACTTGAGCGTGATTTTTCAAGGGAGGGGGAGGTGATGGCAGCTGGGAAAACACAAGCTTTTTTTTAGATGAGTTAGATACAACAATGTCCTTGAATATTGCTGCCAAGATTCCAGGTGACAGTGACAGAAGAAATGACATGCATTTGTAGGACATGTGGACTATTCCTGGCCCTGCTCTGACTGGTCAATTAAGTTTGACCTACACTGGAGTGGATGCAAGGGGGTGCAGACGGTCCGGCTGCACCCCACTAAACCACATTAAAAAAATAATTGTTGCATTACTGGTAAGATTAGTAAGATATGCGAATACAATTTCCAGGCACGTAAATGTCCATATTCTCAATATTTTCGCACCTCGGTCTCAACAATGGCAGGTCCCTCTACCGCCAAATCCTGCATCTGCCCCGGGTACACGATACTCTCTGGTTTGATTTGATTGCCACTCAGAAAAGATCAATTGAACATGTATATCTGCACAGAAAATGTAATTCCATTCTCAGCCAACAGTTTAGCGACGCGTCACAGGATGGAAGTATGCTTTATAAACCTAAGTCTTCATGAGTCTTAGGAAGTGTAGTTGTATTTAGTCATCAGAAAAAATACATCAAGGTTCAAACAGGATTTGAACCCAGGAGACTGGACAGAAATGCAAGCAACTTCTTGTCCACAAAACCACAGCTGCTCTCTACTAATGTTAAGTAAAAAATGCAAATTTCCCTAAAAACTGTAAAGATCAATGGTGGTCCAGTGTACACATTGACATCAGCATAATGCAACGATTTAGCTATGTTTGAGGAAGGACACAGCAATTGTACTGAACCCGACCATGAAGCGCAGTACAGTAAACACCTCCTTCAGGACCCCACCACCGCCAAGGGGACACCTTCAAGACGAAAAAGTGTTTAATAGGGTTATTGCCTGAAAAGGTGTTGGTCATAGTGTTACAGAATATACTTTTCTTATTTCCGTGGAGAAAGTGTCCCTTTAATAGGGGTGTCCCATAGGGGTTCTACTGTATCCCTATAAATTATTTAAGACTCATGAGGCTAATAATAAAGAAAATACAAGTTCTTAGTGTACACTTTCCTTTTAATTTTTGCACATGTAGTTTCAAACACTTGAAAAACAGAAATTGATAGTAGAAAAGTAAAGTAAACTGCACACATAATTTAAAGCACCCGCAACTATGATTTATATGAATGCATCAAGCTACAGCCTCGGGATCAAGTTATCAATACTGTACATGAGGATACATGCTGCAATCAACCTAATCGCACTATAAATAGCTAAAGCTATGAACCGTTTAAGCCTGAGCCAACCAACAATCAATGAGAGAATTATGTTAAACCCTGTCAACACCACCCAGCCCCCCCCCCCTACCCCTCACCCACCCAAACTTCATTTTCCATAGCTTCCCTGTTTACCAAGGACACATGAACTATGTTATGTAAGTGACCTTCATTATCTTTGGAAGACGAACTAATATGGTGATGATGGTGAACATATTCAAACCATCGTAACAGTACAGGTATAAAACAAATACATTACATTCTACTATCATCATTTTAAATCAATCAACCTTTTATGATGAAGAAGCTACAATATAGAGTCATGTCCCTTTGACCTTTAAAGTCAAACAGATACAATTACAATATATTCAGGATGCTAAAGTAGTAAACATTAATTTACTCTGTCTAACTGGACCTATATTACTGCACAACTAAACACATCATAATGTGTAAACATATTTATATTTTCAACAATAATTTATCATATTTTTTATTACTGAGGACTTAATTCTTCACATATTTTTTATAAGGTTGTGGCAAATGTTTAGGCTAAAGGCCATTGTATGTCGCAGTCTGGAGAGATTTGTGCGAATTAAACAGACGAATAAGGTCGGGACAGTTGCATCAAAGAATATTAAAAACCACCTAAAGGCTCTCCCCCAACGATAAATCCCAAGTTGGCCTTAATACACACCACATGCAGGCACAATACTGAATACTGTACATTAAAATGATGGTAATGTCAAACAGATGACAACTGATATGCATATGTTGTTTGTGTCGCATGAGAACCAAAAGTGACGTGCCCCACAATTTTAATTTCAGCTCTAACCTTGAATGTGAATTCTGTTTGCAAAAATCAACCAGAGTCATTGTACGCAAACTATTTTAAAAACCGCCGCGAGCAGTCCCCTAAGTAGCTTGAAAAAAAGGCACAAGCGATAATGGCAGGCTAGCAACGTACTAGAGGCAGAGATGCAGAATAAACAATCTATTCAATTTGGATCGAATTACTAAACTCGACTGAAAGGTAATCCTTCTTCAAAATTGATCAACATCACAACATTTAAACGTAATCCAAACAGAAGTGGACACAGAGCTGACAAATTTGACAATAATAATAGTCATTTGTAGTACCAGCATTTTTGGTATTTATACCTACTTGGCCCCAAGCATCAAGATCTGAAAGTTTATTCGTTTTTGGATATCTGCTGCTGAGGCTTAGGAGCTAGGCTCCACCGTCCTCTGGCTGTTTGAAAACAATGGCCGAAGTCATCCCAAACGTCTAATTGCAATTTAAAAATTTCCAATATTTAGTCTTCGTCGTCCCAGTTGCCTTGCTTCTGCGGGGGTTTGGGGCCACCAGCTCGTTTTGCCATTATAATCTAAGGAGGTAAATCATACATAAGAAATAAGTTAGGGAACAGCGCAACTATACTGTTATAATCAACAAGCTCATTAGAATAACATCCCAAAAAGCATCAACATTATACTATTAATATTATCGTCCTTAAATCAAAAAATATGTGCAGACCAAATATAGTAACAATTTGATATCAGGAATGGTCAATCAGGATTTCCATTTTTTTCTTATAGGTAAAATACTACGATTCATGGACAACAATCACTTTCTTATGTTTGTTTCCTGGTAAAATTCTAATTACAGTTTAAATATTCATATCTAGTTTTGGTTTATGTAGGTGTCTCGCTTTTGCAGAAGTTTCACATGTTTTACTATTATAATCTAAGAAAATTCAACACATGTGAGTGGGCCAGAAGCCACACTATATTACACTTTATAACAAAGAGTACTTTCTGAATAAAAAATTACTAACCTGATCGACTCTGAGGACTGTGACAGCAGCGTTTGTAGCCAGCTTAATTGCCCAGTGTTTGCCAAGATATGCATCAAATATACCTGCCTCTACAACATCCTTTACCCCAGCACCTTCAGCCTAGAAAAAACACCAACAATACACAAGATTGAATTATGTCGCACTGTACCCAGGATACACACTTAACTTGGTAATACTTTCTTATACTACATACTTGATATCTATCACATGCTATATCATATATATCACATATAATAGTACCTTAATATTATATCATAACAGTTTATAATACTATAATTTAATCATATAATACAATATAATATAGTTATATTATTATAGCAGAGCTATAACACCAAAAACTGACAGTCTTGAATGTTTACAGCATTATTTTTAATGCAAGCCAGTAGTAATCATGTCAGTCATGTAAAAATGTAAACATTCCTCAGAATGTTCACAGTTTACACAAAGTAGCTATCACAGTGATGCTTTCAGATTACATTAATAATAGTTTTCTATTTTTATTTTATTCCACAAATTAACATCTGGTTGACAACAAAATTCTCCCTAACCTCAATATCAAATCCAATATTCTTTTGTCCATCTTGATGGGCAGCGTAGAGCTGTGACAAGACCTCTGTAGACTTGACACCAGCGTTGTCTGACAGAGCCCTGGGGATGGCTTCAAAAGACTGGGCAAACTTCTTGACTGCATACTGGGCTAGGCCTGGGATCGTCTCACCGTAAGATGTAAGTTGCTTGGCCAGCTCAATCTCGCATGCTCCAGCACCAGGAACCAGGTTGTTATCCTGTGATATAAAAAAAATCTAATTTTGACAAAGATTCAAGACTTAATTGCTCATGTTTATGAAACTTATGAAACCTTTCAAGCATAAAAGAAATAATGGAAGCTGCAATAAACGCCTTGCGTTTATTATCAGTATACTCAAATTTATTGTGAAAAAAATCCTGTCTATTTGAGGCTTGCCATCCAAAAACCAGCATGCATCGCTAAATGTTAGTAATTAGCATAAGAATGCAGCAATATTGTATACTTTAGCAGAGAGTCATAACACTTTTACTCATAACACTGGAAATAGTAGGTCAGTTCCAGTAAATGACCCATCATTCAAAAGCTTATAATGTGAAGAAAAAGAATATATTAAAAATTATATTTTCTTGTTTAACAACAGTATCCTCTTGCGTATGGCACTAGTCTATGTTTCTCTCTTCACCAGGGATTAATTGGATACCAGGGTAGGATGCAAATGTTGTATGCATTTTGGTCTAAGCAAAATATCCATGCAAAAATGTGAACACTTAACTACTATATACCTTTGTGAGAACTTTGAATGTATTGACACCATCATCGACGGCTCTCTCAAGATCATCCATAAGATTGTCTGTGGAACCACGGAGGACAATGGTGGCAACAGCATTGTCATCTTTATCTGTAACAATGTAACAAAAATTATGTTTCAATTAAAGCAATCTGATTAATATTACGTATCAAGCTAACTTTTCATTTTTAAAAATCAAACTGAGTAGATTTGTCAATTAAAGGAAGGAAGCAAAATGAGTGCTAAACAAAACTGTTTTAACAAGTGGTTGATCATGTTTGGCTCCACAGACTCTAGCACGCCATCCATGACAATTCTTTCTGTAGTCTGCTAAAAGGACATATACTTCTGTACATGTGAAGATGTTTGTATACTACAAGAATTTAATAATACGAAAAAAAAAAATCTTCATGATTCCTGAAGAAAAAGATACAACAAAGAAAATTACCCTGTTTGAAGATAATAACAGATGTGTCCCCTATCTCAGAAATTTCAACATGGTCACAGTGACCCATTTCATCTGGGGTGGGGGCCGTCTGTAATGAAACAATGCACGTCAAATTTAGTATATATAGAATTGAACAATTATAATGGCTAAGGATAGCATAGTAATTCTGAATGTACCATACTCAACTGTAGATATTGTCACAGTCTACATAGACAAAGGTACCATATTGAAACCTTTCCCATTTAATGTTAAACTGTATTTTTATGTTCCCATTTTTACAGCCATCTTTCCATTAAACAGAGGCAAGATGGTTGTCAAAAATGGGGTGGATCAGGAAAGGGGTGGGAGAGACACTGTTGTGAAGAACATAGAATTAGTTGCTGCAATCTATGCACTTAAATAATGGAACATTTAAATTACTTTTATTATTTTAATTTTTAATGCACTGCAATTTAAGTAACGCAATAATCAAGTATGCATAGTCAAGGCTATACTAAAGCAAGCCTGATAGAGCTAAATGAGACCAACTTTTCATTCTCCCACAATTTGTATTGTTAACAGTATATGGTGAGTTACAAGTATCTAAAGGCTGTATTAATCATAAGTTGCAAATTATTTGAAGTTATAAAAATAACATTTCACAACATACATACCATCCTTGGGAGTGGTACAGCACCAACGGCTCTGCACAAACGACGCAAGTCCCACTTGGACGAGAGCCGAACGGCCATGATGTTGTACTTGTTGAGAAAATGCAAGCACAGGTCACCGACCTTTCCACCTGCTACTACTACTTTGACACCAGTGTCAGCAATTGCCTTGATTTGCTGTTCAATTGAAAAAAAGATGGAGAACATTAATTACACAATAAACATACCAACAACAGCTTATGTATCAATTGTTATTAAATTAACACTGTGTATTAGAGGCAGGAATAATGATTAGTAGTTTGTAGGTTTAATTAACGTACAGTATCTGTATAAATTATGTTAAGTGTGAATGCGCTGTGTGCTGCCCTCAATGTGATAGCAACATGTCAACAAATTATTTTTATTTGTTCTGTAAAATATTTCACCTCTTCTAAACTGTTTTCTTCTCCTTTGCTATAGTTTTTAAGTTCTTTCGCTGTCTTGATCAACACTGTTCCCTGTAAATCAAAAACATTTATAATGATTATTAGATAATATAATCATAAAGCAATATAATGACATCTGAAATTTTGGACAAGACCCTAGAAGAGGAAGGTAATAATCTTAACTGCCAACCTACAGCCAACTGCAAATGATAAAAACAATTAATTTTAAACATAATTTAGGGGTTGTCCATAATTTTCATAAGAGTACAAACCAGTTACCCCTCCCTCTTCCAAAAGAGTACACAATAAAATGTTGGTTTGTGTAATGTGGAAATCACCATTTTATCTTTTTCATAAAAGAGTACTTATGCTTACACTTGCAACCCCTCCCCATTCTCTAAGGCATGTTTTCAGGGATGCAGATGTCCGAAAAGAGGCCCCCAATTGAGAAACAACACTACCCTTTTTGGTTTTCTGGACAGCCGAGAATAACATCTGAGGCATTTTGGGCAACCAGTAATTTCTTTCTTTCTCTTTCTTTCATTTCTTTTTCTCTTTTTTTTTTTTTTTTAAACTTTCCTAAAGCTGGGAGGGGAAGGGGGCAGGCCTGGGTCTCCCTAAATCCTCCCATGGTTACTCTTATGAAAAAATTTAAAAAAATTATGGATGGCCCCTAACATATATGCATCTTAATTTGGACGATTACCTTGGTTTCAGTATGAGCAGTGTCGATTGGACAGGAGTAAACAGCGATCTTTGCGTCATCAGCTTTTACCACGTCGCCCTCTACATTACGTTTAAAAACCATACCCTGAACAACAGATGATTGAAGCATACCTGATCCCTAAAACAAAACAAAAAAAGTGTAGGCATATATGGCCTATACATTGTTGGACATTCAGCAGTGATATTAAACCACACTACTACTACTATTAACAAATAATATCGGTTGGGCCAAGCCTGTCACATTAGGCTTATTCCAGCAAAGTAGGGTGAACCTATCAAAATCAGGCTGGAACTAGACTATGGAGCTTTCCATTATGTCAAACGTAACTGACCAATCAGAACATGTTATTCAAAAATATACACATGTCCACAAACACATGTTTACATACATTAATACTGGTGTTTTTGCTGGGCATTTTTCAGCAAGTTCAGTAATTTACTACTAGTTTTGTGTATTTAATGGGTCTAAAGAAAATTTTACTCACCAATATTTTAGCTACTCGTATATTATCTACATTGAAGGTTTTAGTCTTGCACATAACAGATACTGAAAATAAAATAATTAATATTCATTGTGGAAACCATATTTTATTATTACTTTTGTCTATCAGATAATGTGGAAGGGTTTCTACGCATGTCCTATTTTATCGATATAATATAAAAACTTTCTTTACAACAAAAAGTATTGAAAACCTTCTCCTATAACTTTGGAAAAATGATGATTCTTTCCAGCATCTGTATTAACAGAACTTTGGCATCAAAGCAAGACACATATATGCTTTGAAGCATATTGTGTGTAAGAAAATTTAAAGAATATCAAGTCAAATTTATTTTGGAATAAGATATTTGTAAAGAAAATGATACATTAAATGAAATGCTGGTAACAAATGCATTTCTAAATTATTGAATCTGTATCATTCTCAATTCTGTCAAAGCATACGCTTCCAACATAAATACTCTAAAGTCAAGTTTTCACATGCCAGAAAAATGGCAGTAAAAAAACATAATATCATAAAAGTTGGTACATACTGCAGGCATCAGCAATAAGTTTAGAAAAGAACTCCTCATTTCCATATTGTTTACTCATTACAGACGTTTTGATGGCCTTCCATACCTCACTCCTATCTTTCAAGTCTTTCACAGTTGAACAACTTAAATCTAATGCAATAAAAAGAATTAATTATTAACATAGCTACATAATTTGATTTCAAGAAACTTAATAAATAATGTACATGATGTAGCATCTTATCCAATACCCTGTTACTGCAACTTAAATAACAACTTCAGGTTTGCAATTGTAATATTCATTATTTCATGATATTTATGTGCAATGAATTATACCAGTATGCTACTGACCTGGTAGAAGTTCCAGAGCTTTTTTGCTAGCCTGTTCATAACCTTCAATAACCTCAGTTGGTGACAGACCCTGAAAAGAGCATCATCCGTAACAAATTTAAAAATAAGTCTACACATTGGAACGTAAATAAATCAGTACAAAAATTCCATTATTTTCTTTTATAACTGTAAAGAATATTTCTGAATTTTAATGAATCCAGAATGAATTTATTTCGTCTAACTGTAAAGAATTATATAATTAATGCTTGCGGTACACCACGTAGATAGTTCTGAAAAGAACTGTTGTTGTTGGTTGACAATATCTCGACGTTTCGGTTGACTTGCTTCAACCGCGAGACGTTTCGGTTGACTTGCTTCAACCGTCTTCAGGAGAATAATATCTGCAGAGATCTCAAACAGGGAAATAGTATTTCCCTGTTTGAGATCTCTGCAGATTTCCCTGTTTGAGATCTCTGCAGATATTATTCTCCTGAAGACGGTTGAAGCAAGTCAACCGAAACGTCGAGATATTCTCAACCAACAACAACAGTTCTTTTCAGAACTATCTACGTGGTGTACCGCAAGCATTAATTATATATTATACCTGTCTCTTATACACATCTAGATGTGTATAAGAGACAGGGACGCATACTTTCGGCCTGAAAGAAATGTAGATAATATAGATGCAAAAAGATGTTTGACTAATCAATAGAAAAACATTCAAATGTACAATAAAAACAGATTTAATAAAATAAGATATTATACAGTACACAAATGTAACAAATTAATTTAAAACTATACAGTCCATTCAAAAAAGTCGTAACAACAGTGTTAAAATCATTATCATCACGTAGGTTTGTGCCTTTTTGTACTATAAATTCCTTTTTAAATGAAATTATATTTATATATTGCGGTACAAAAAAACTACAACTACACAGTGGTAGGATAGTATAATACATACTCAAAGTATCGAAATGCACGCACGATGGTATGCATTTCGACACTTGGAGTATGTATTATTCTGAGGTTAATCAGTGGACCTTTCGGTACACAGTGGTAACACAAAGCTGTTTGTATCAAAATATATATAAAATATAAACAAGGATCAACAAACAGAACGAAGTGAACAAAAAACTACCTTACTGAAATACACAAGAAAAACAAGAAAGTACTGTATATTAAGAATAAATTAATAATTTGAACATTAAGATACTAAAATGCAGACTAAATTCATCATTGTGCTACTAAGACCACATTACATTACTTGATACATACCATTCTCAGCAGCTCTTCAGCATTCTCCAGCAGTGCTCCAGCTAACAAGAGCACTAGATTGGTAGCATCTCCGATCTCCTGCTCCATTTGTTGAGATGCAAGAACGAGCATCTTGGCAGCTGGATGTTGAACCTGAAAAAAAAAATTTAAAAAGAGATTAATCAAATTATTTACAATTTAATTTTTTCCAGAGAACAAGAAGTATTAAAAAAAAAAAATAATGGTAATCGTTGTATTTAACACATAGTACTAGGTCCCTGCATTTTCAACAAATGGCCAATAAACGAAAAGACGAAAAAGAGACAAAAAAAGAACAAAAAAAAAAAAAAGGAAAAACAATTAGATGGATGAGAAAAGGTGAGTATGGATTGAGATGTAGATCAGAAGAGAGTTCCAGAGTTTTGTAACAGCAACATTGTAGGAGTGCTAACTATATGATATTTAGCTTGCAAATATGGGTAGAAATGGTGGAAGAGCTAGGTAGAAAATAGAATTATTACTCCAAAAATATTACGTCAAAATTTCTCTGTATGCTTAGAAAACAGTCTGGAAAAAAGAGGGATTTGGAAACCTCTAGTAAATACAACAATGTCATAGAAGTGACATCAAAGGATTAACCACTGTGATCTTAGCATTACCCATGAAAATAAGTCATCTATATATAGCCAACATCCACATGACTTATGAAATATCTTACTTCCAATTCTTTAATGATTGTAGCAGCATCATTGGTTACAAATAGTTTTTCAATATGGTTGATAACCATCTTGTTCATTCCATTTGGACCAAAAGCTGATCTAGTGGTCTCTGCTAACTGCTTACATGCTGCAATATTCCTGTAAACTGCTTCATCTAGGCCTTGATAGTTCTGTCATAAAAATGTTAAAAAAAAATGAAACACTTGGTATTTAATGTCTTAATAATCAATGTTCATTCACTTAAACAGCTGCATCACAGCCAATTACAGAGATGGTAGTTCAGAATATTTATATTTTTCAACAAGCAGCAGGATGAATATGAATTGTGAACATGTGCAACTACCATACCAATGTAAACAATTATTGTTTCACTATCAATAATCAACCATAAGATTTATGGTTGTAAGTAAAATGGGAACTGTCATTAAATAAAAGACCATGGCTGGGCGACTGCTGGACAAATTCACCGAGGTGTGGATAATTTAGTAACATGCGTCTATTATTCTTTCTCTTTTATTGCGAATATCATTAGATGTCTGGACGTAATGAAACAGCAAAATATTGGTAAGATGATACCAGTATGGACATTTTGGTGAAATTCTATTTGCTGATGATAAAAAAAAAAAATTTATTTTTGGCCCACTGCATTAGCAAATTAAAGAAACTTTCTAAAAAAAAAAATTATTGTTTTATTTTTGTTCATCATTTAATGCACCTTCGACTAAAATAACTTGAAGAAAATGCGGTATGGACATTTAGGCAAAATTCTTTGTATTTTATACACTGTTTTGTGATTCTACAATCTGCCGATGATGTGAATTTCGATACTTAGAGTGTGTAGGCCTACTAGGCCTACCTCAACAAGTTAAGTCATATTTTCCTCTGACTGAATGTTCTGCTTGTAAATATGACATTTTCATTTTTGTTATCAGTGATGTGATTCAGGGAATATTATATTCATATTTAAAATTATTAAGCCAATTTAGTATTAGGTCTATTTACTTTTTAACTTTAATATATCTATTTTTTATTTAACATGTTTCTTATATCTTTGGTATGCTATCTCGTTTTCAACCTTTGTTATCGTATTGTTATCATATTGTTAACATTATGTATAGATCCGAAATAAAAACAACCAAACAATAAGCGTATTATTAGGCTAGTACTAGCCTAGTAGGCCTGTAGTAAGTAGTATCATGTAGGCCCTTTTCCTATCTACTGCAAGCTGAAAGCAACGCCTTCTGCAAAAGATTAGGGCGAGCACCGTCGGGCTCTCCATCCATCCACGCACGTGTGAGGAGCACGGCTAAATCTGTATCTGTTTCCAGTAGAATCAATCTACTGCTAATAAAAGTCATCAACATTCACTATAAAACAGCTTATAATAAAAATTAATTATAGTAAAAAACAAACCTTAGCCCCATCTTTCAACATTTGGGAGAATCCCGGTGCTCTTGGTATGTGCATCGCCATTTTGAGAACTTTCTGGAATAAAGAGAGAGTTGCCGTTGTTCATCCAGAATCACCGACGTCTAGCATATGAACGTCTAATAATATACACCCAACAATAGATGGCGCTTATCAGATTATTTTGCATGGAGATGGATGGCAACTAGACGCTATGTTTTATAAACCATGGTTAGAATTAGTAACAATTTTTACTATGATTAAGATCTCGCCTTGGCATCTTGCTTAGATAGTGCTAGGTATTAAGCCTAGCTATAGCTATATAATTATATATATAGGCCTCAAGTACTAATAAGCCTCTACTCGACTAGAGCTAGTCCTATCTAGTTACTGGGTAAGCTAGGCTAGGCCCATACCTAGCCTGCAGGCCAAGTGCTTGCTTGCTAACTATACTCACTGCTCTCAGACCTTGGCGTAGACTAGAGAAAGGCAAGGCTAGCTTTAGCTTTTACGCCTCCTTTTCTCCAGTTTTAAATATTCAAAAATCTGTTTCTTATTAACCGTTTCCAAAGATTTCGTCAAGCTCCCTTAGAAATATCAGTTTGTTAGGCCCCATAAAAAAATTATTAGTTTATCACCCTATCAAAGAATAAAAACTGATGAGGGAGGGAGGTTTTTCTTTTTTTTTCCTAACTCCGCCCCCATTTTACCGATGTTCTCACGTAAATCAGTGGTTAGGGACACATATATAAAAAGTCATAAGAATGGAATCAAATTTATATTTAAAAAATATGTTTTTGTTGTACCAGTAAACATATTTGCAAGAATAAACTTTCCAAGTAAAAGAAGATGGAAAAATGACCGTTTGAAAAAAATATATATGTTGCCAAAAAAACAAAACAAAAAATCAGAATTTCCCTAAAAGTGACAAGGGAGGGGGTGATAAACTAATAATTTTTTTTCTGGGGCCTTATATCATTAAGAAGTTTTGCAACTATTTATGGTTTAACTTTTTTTTGTAGGGAAACTCGAATTCATTATTGACTGATGAGAAAATACAAGAGCTAGCAGGTAAAACACACTGTAAGTATGTACTAACAGCACAATTCAATATAATAATTAAATGCAAAGTTTTTGTTGTTTGATCATTTCTGGTTGTCCTTCATATCTTATCTCTTCATTTGCCTCCCTTCAATTCTTTTGGTTCTTTGGTAATATATTTTATTCAGTGAAGTTTTGTGTCTGATTTAACAGATTAAGTCTTTTTTCTTTCGATAGTTAATCAGAATGAAATAAAATCAATAGTCAAGAGATACAGTAGTCATATCATTCCGGAGGATTCTACCACAGGAATAACACGGAGCAGCTTCCTGTCCATACCAGAGCTAACATGCACTCCATATGCTGATATGTTATACAACATATACACAGACAGCCAGAAATCCACAATGACACCAGAGGAGTTTCTGATGCTCTTCTCAATGCTGAGTAGCAAGGCGACCATTAAAGAAAAGCAGAAACGTAAATAGTTGCACATATTACTTTTAATAATTTGTTATTACCGGTATATCAGTAATAATAACAAACTAATAATATAAACTAATGTAACTGAAATATAAAAATGATATTATTTTGTATTATCATTCATAGTAATGTTTCAAGTCTTTGATATAAGTAAAGATGGCATCATTGGATTTGATGAAGTGTTCCGTGTGTACAAGAAAATGTTTTCTGCAGGATTTACAGATGAACAACTAACAGAGATTGTCAACTCCGTTTTAACATCGCAGAGTTTGAAAACACCAGGTACTATCGATTTTGATGAGTTCTGCAAGGTAAATTATCATAAATCATCAGCAACCAAAACTTAATCTGGTCATAGACAACTCTGACCAAAGGAGTTGATAATTTGTGATTTGTCTTATAAAATGTTCTAATGACCTGTGTATGTAACTTGAGCACTAATTATTTAATGATATTATATTATTGTTATTATTATTGTTAAATTGTTGATTTTGTTGTTGTTATCATCACCTTTATTATAGTATTAATATTTTTATTATTATAGTATTATTATATTATTATTATTGTTATTATATAACAATACTGTACTCGCGTGAATAAGTGGCCCGTTTGAATAAACGCCCCCCTCGAATAACCGCCCCTCCTAACATGAAAATTTCCTTAAGCGCCCTGTTTGAATAACCGCCCCCCCTTCTAATTTCAATAAGCGCCCCTCATAAGATTTTCTTTTTAGCAAGTCAATAATCCAATCAATCCTGGGACTGTGGTTGTTGGCATGATTTGAGCTGTAGAGTGAAAAAACATTCTTCTTCAGTCAATATCAAAATGAGGATATTTCTATTGGACAGATGAGAACTCCGATCCCTGGACAGACAGTATATTTCCAACTTCACTCTTTTTACATATTTGTCTATGCCCAGTCCTACTCCTCTTTTTCTTTTTCCGACCTTTAGCACATTCTCATCTGAGTTTTCAAGAAAAAAAACAATGATCCTGCCATCCTGCTAATCTCAATCGGCCAATGGCCAATAAACTAACCACTACCCACCATCACTAATTGCATCTACTATTTTGCTGTTATGTAAATATTCACGCATTCTTGTCAAGAGCCATGTTCTCTGGACAATTATCTTTTCTAACCACCATTCGTAATGTCCTTATATAATCTTTTTTCATTCAAAAATTGCCTCTTGAATTTAATAATTTCCCATAAGAACCCCTCGATTTTCATCTATTTCCATAAGCGCCCCTTCAATCTCCATTCTGTTTTCATAAGCGCCCCGTTTAAATAAGCGTCCAATTTAAATAAGAGCCCCTCAGAAAGTGCAAAAAATATTTTAAGCGACCGGGCGCATATTCATGCGAGTACGGTAATTATTATTATTATTATCATCATTATTATGAATAAAGAAGAAACAAATAAACAAATAAAAAATATATATATTCCCTAAAAAGGCTAAAAAATTTGATCCAATATTTGATGTAAAGTATTTACTAATGTTTTTTTTTTTATAGATGATGGCACCAATGGAGCTACGTGAAAAATTAACCATTGAGCTTCAGCTTTCAATTTGAAATGAAATTAATGTTTTTTTATTTAAATATCCAATCGTAAATCAGCAAGAACTCTATGTTGAATTAAAAGTTTCAGGCAAAGGCTGATGTCATCCAGATCAGACAGTCTGTAAAAATTGATTTTTCAGTGGAAAAATAGAGGAAAAAGAAAGTAGAAAAGACTAAGAGCCCGATTCATACACATAGTGATGAAGGGCATGAAGCTATCGGCTGTCGGTGTATGCAGGCCTGAAGTTGATGTGAAAAGCAAAAATTGTTGTACGATCAATGGTCTATATGCTTCGTTGTTACATATTGAGTATGAAATCATTTGGCATAGTAATAATACAAGTAACACACAGCGAAAATTTTAAAATCTCCTTATGTTTATATAAGTGTTATGTAAGTATGTATAAATTTCTAAACAATCAGTGTAGTAATACTGTTGTATGTACAATGTATGTAGATCTACAATAAATTAATAATGGCATTGGTGAATAAATTTGATCACAGTGAAAATGTATTAGTTACTGTAGTATTGTATTATTATTAACACTACAGAATAATTAATATGTATGTATGTATACATCGGGTGAACCCGGTTACATGATATTAAACAAAGAGCAATGTATTTTCAATGTCAACATAAAATATAAATTAAAATAAATAAAAATCTAAATATAAATTCATTAAATTTAATAGTTTTAAACCATTTATTTAAATATAATATATAATAAATTTATTTAAAACTTCTCCAATATCTATGCAGTATAACATTCGGTGGTTGGGGAGGAAGTGTGTCTGACGAGGCTTGTCACTTAATCTCCTTTTGACACTGATATACCATGAACCCTGTTGACCATGCTGGACTCGTCAGAAAGACTATTGGGGTGCTATTAGGCCTATTTGGTATACGTTTTTGGGCCTATAACGTTTTTAGCAGCCTAAAATCAAATCTCCAAAGTGCCCCAGGCTTTGCACCTAATCTAACCAGAGCGTGACGCCCGCTGGTCTCTTCACTTTCGATGCTTTCCACCATCCCATTAAAATATATCGACCTAGAGCCACCACTCTTAGGGGTTGCTAGATGGTTTAATCCTGTAAGAATATCAAGTTATTTTTTATAAGGAAAAATAGTTGGGTTATGGTCTGTGATATGTTATATGCCTACTTCGCGTCAAATAAATTGTTTTCTCATAGGATGTTGCAGAGTTAAGCTTTTTGCAACAATCAATAATTTTTTTTATTGTTAATGTTAGCTAATACAGGTCTATCATGTGTTTTCTTGTTTTATATTTTTTGTCCATATTTCAAATATGTTAATTTCGGACCAAAGGACCTTCGGACCAACGACCCTTCGAACCAAAGGCTTTTCGGACCAAAGAACCTTCGGAGCAAAGCATTGACCCCATTCACCACTTCAAAACATTTAGTAAAGACAACGGTAATGTAGGCCTAGGTCTTATTTTACAGCATGTTGTTGCGCTCGATAATGATTCTTTTTGATTCTTCTTGTTCCCATGCCAACAAGTATCGAACCACAGCTTGTAAGTTCTGGGTTGTGACTTTGTATGTTCGTATAATGTAACAATATGATGAAATACAATACCCCCATGCATGAAAATAATTAGGTTTAATATCGACTAACTTTCAAACATCATGCTTTTAATTGTATTTTTACAATAAGCAAGTACAGTACTGTTCAGAATAAAGAAGACGAAAATGGTTCCTGTTTATGACAGTGAAGCTTGTACCGTACATACGCCCTTGTTTGTTTTTCCTTTTATTCGTTTACTTACTTTTTCCATCGCTTTCTGGTCAAAACGGCAATAAACCAAAATGGTCTTATGAAAGTTTTCTTTAAGAATTAAAACATATTTCCAATGTGGCCTACATAAAACCAATTATAAACAAAATGTACAACAATTAATTTAGTAAAAAATGAAGCTAAATTGTTACAGAAGTAAAACTTTAAAATATAGACAAATTGAGGCTAAACATTTTATGTCATAAAAGTAAAAAACGCGAAATAATAAAACAATTATAAACATGAAAGTGTACAACGATTGAATACGGTAAAAATGAGGCTAAATTATCATACAAGTAAAAAAAGCGAAAGAACGACAACAAACAATAATAATAATAATAATAATAATATAACATACAAATTCAATAATAAAAAGATTGGGGGAAACACAATATAAAAGTAGTGAACATTTAAATAAATAAAACTTTCAAACACGGACAAAATGAGGCTATTTATGCCATAAAAGTTAAAATCGCGAAACAATAACAATAAAATAATAATAATAATAATAATAATAATAATAATAATAATAATAATAATAATAATAATAATAATAATAATAATAATAATAATAATAATAATAAATAACACTTTAAAATATAGACAAAGTGAAGCATCGAAATAATTCGTCATAGATGTGTAAAAAAAAAACCCCGATTAAACAAACACGTTCAAAACGTGAAAAAGAGCCCATCAATATCAATTTCAAAACGATTCAGAAAATTATAAACTACGGTCCGCGCCCGGTGGCGCTTTAGTCTTGGCATTGAGTTATTCGCTCCTTTGCCGTTTTGGTCTGTCTATTGCCGTTTAGGTCATTGCCGTTTTGTTCTGTTGCCGTTTTGGTTCATTGTCGTTTTAATTATTGCCGTTTTGGTCATTGCCGTTTTGGTTTATTGCCGTTTTGACCTGCTACCTTTCCATTCCATCAAATAACAATGAACAATACAATTTACAAAAAATAAAGGGGAAAAACTGAAAACGTAAGAAAAACGTAAAAGGACGAAACCACAGAAGTCCCGTATGGAAGATGCCCAGATCTAGTAGTAGGCCTGTTATAAATTACAATAACTTTTTGACAGCTAAAATAAATAAAAACTGATGTTCCGTCTAAAAAAGTCAATATATTTCCTACCAGTATTTTTTAATTGTATCCCTCAGTATTTTTTTTAAATTGCAAAACAACAATATTTCATTTAAATTTAGCCTATATTATTTTTGACAATTTTTGAGCGATAAAATGTATTCAGGGAAAGGTGACAGCTCTCTGGTCCCAGTGTGTCCCCTTAATAGGGGTTGTCGAAATTGTCGTCTCAAACTAGGGCCATAGCTCCGGGCGCTGTATGCGTATCTTTAAACCCAAGCTCCAGAGCGGAAAATGATATTTTGTTAATGAGATACAGAATTGAATATATAAAAATTGGGGGAAAAGGGGTGGTTATTCCCCTCCCCCCCCCCATAGTTTTTAAATATTCAAAAAATCTGTTTCTCACCGCTTCCAAATTTTTTGTCAAATATGCTTTTCGTGTCTTAAAAAAATCAGTTGTAGGCCTACACATAAAATTAAAAAAAATATAAAAAAAATCCTCCGTAGCCTGGCTTTAAAGATTTTTCCAAAATAGCTGTAAATGAGCAATTTTGAGGGTTTCAGCATAACAACTGTGGAAAAACTCAAATAAACAAACTGCTGACCTCAGTGACCGTATCTTTAATCAAGACAACATTTCATTTGTTTAGTTTTATACTGAATATAATATGAATATAAATTATTGAAAATATTTATACTAAATTTTGTTTTCTTATCTTAAGCAAACATTATTTCTTTTTAATATATTGACTGTGAGTGTGAACGTTCTCTGGAAGGGTGTTCTATAATAGGAGGGGTGGACGTGAAGTCAGACAGTCGAATGGATGTGGATCGAAATTCCTAGAGGGCGTTATGTCAATTGGCGTATTCTCTTTGTTGTTATAGTAAATTTGTAGGACGAGAAGGAAGATCGTTTAGCTAGAAAAATGGCAACAAATGCCAGTGAAATAGAAGGAACAAACCAAGAAGCGAAAAATGAAGACACTGAGGGTAATGAAGAGAATGACGTCTTTGAGGTTGGCAAGATACTGGGAACGACAACGACGGAAGACGTATGTGCTATTCAAAGAATGAATAGGTTTTTTGATTTGAGTGTCACGGTTCGAGTGTCATCCTCGAACTCCACCTCTCAGAACGGAAAATCCACATTCCGTATCCGTTGAATTGATTTGGCACAGGCCTAGGGCTAGAATATATGCGTTAGATAACAAAAGCCAAGCCTATGCCAAGTAAATGTTCCTGATAATCTATGTAGTCATTCCATTTAATATATATATATATATATATTCCTAACAGATATCAGAATTTACAATGATTCAATAAAATTAATATGTTTCTCTTGTACAGTTTCTATTCTATTTAGGCCTAAGCTTCAGAACTAAACCGTGTCTATCCGAGGCTTGAGAATCCGGCTTAAGTAGCCAGAGAGAGGACCCACCTTGGCTAGGCATAGATAGGGTCTGGGCTTAGACTTAGTGACTAGGCATGTCGGTTGCAGACTAGATACACCACCTGAAATTTTTTTATTTTAGTTGCTGCTCTTTGTTTACTAAAATACTAGAGGCCGATTAGATACAGAAGAAGAGAAAATAGTTCCTCCATTCCACTAAGAAAAAAAATATATAATATATAAATAATATAATAATAATAATATAGTTTGAGAGATTGTTTTGTAGGTAAGAGCAGAATTGTGCCAAATTTTATTATACTTAATAATTGGACGGGTTCCAGGGCTGCCCCCCCCCCACTGGCACCACTACAGCTAGGAATCAAAAACTTTATTGTTCATATGGAAATGTGTATATTTTTTAACTTGTATGTCACTTAAAATAATATATGTAACTTATAACTTTTGACCTATAATTTGTACTAAAACAGCTTGAGCCAGTTGAAACTCAACTCAACCCAAAAGTATCTGAATCCAAAAGTAAGAATATTTTTCAATACAGAATGTTCAAATGTTCCTGGTGAGGTGGCAAGGGTATGGACCAGAAGAAGACACGTGGGAACCAAGAAATAACCTTGTATCCTGCGAGGACCTCATTGAGGAGTTTTTAGAGAAGAAAAAGATGAAACGGAAGATGATATCCAAGGCACCGGGTAGACCAAAGGTATAATGTCACAGACCAATTTATTGTTTTTTCACAAGGCATTTCATGCGATATACCTACTAAAATAATAATAATAATAATAATAATTGTCAACTTATATAACGCATAATGTAAAGTACCTCTATGAGCCTTGAGCACTACTGCTGTGGATTTGTGCGCTTTATAAATCTTATTATTATTATTATTATTATTATTATTATTATTATTATTATTATGCGCCTTACAGCAGAGAGTGGGATAAATTATTAAAAGTTTCACCTAATAAATAAATAAATGAATATCAACTATAAATACCAGTATACTATTACTACAGTATGTTAAGTTATGAATAATATCTATATACAGTAATTATAACTTGGATTTTGACTTTTCATCAAAGTTACATATAATATATATATTCACAAGTTGGTAATTAACTTATTATATTTTAAAATTAATTATAAACAAATGTAAAACAGTCGGATATTGAATACATTTTGATTAAATTTTGAAACTTATGAACTTGTATCTTATTAATCAGAAATCAAAACTGGCAAAGTTAAAGCAAGATGCATCTGCAAATGATGCAGCTTCTACTTCAGAAACCAACATAGAAAAGCCTGAAAAAACATCCACAGCCACCAGTATTTTGAACTCACTATCAGAAGAGAAACCAGTGAAAGACACATTCTGGGAGGATTTTGATAAAGGCTTGATTAGCTTTGGTGATGATATGTATTCCAAGGTGAAAGGTCGCCGTGCTACACTTGAGGCTAAAAAGAAGAAAGAAGAAGAAGCATCAAAAAGCAAAGAGAAACCAGAGAAAAAAAGCAAAATGAAACGATTAAAAGCAAAACGAGAACGGAAAATGCATCGTAGCAATAGTTTTACAGATGGAAAGAAAACGAAGACCAGTCTAGCTATGGAAGCTATTGGGTCTCTAGAGAGCGCAACTCAGATGACACTCACAAGAACTCTGGATGCCTTCGATCTTTGTCAGAACAATGCCAACTTGTACAACTCACCAGTTCATCAAACTAGAACCGAGGAGCTCACCATCGCTTGCTTGGAACAAAAGCGCAGAAGTTCAAGTGAAACATTACCTGCAACTCCAGACGACCTCAGCTCTGCGGATGAAGAGCTGTCATCCAGGAATAAGGTAAGGTTTACTACCACTCAGTAAATCTTCAAATTTATAGTCTATACTAATGTAAATAATTGTTACTTCTGTAATGTTTTGGTTTTTTCCCAATGTATTTTTGTCATTTAAACTATTGCTTGCATTCATTGTCATTTTTAAAAATAGTATTCTGCAGTGCTTTGTGGGAGTCCATGATAAATAATTTCAGTCACAAAAATGTGTTTCTAGAATCATTGTTTTAACTGTACATACTGAAACTATTCTATAATGCTATATTTTTGCTCTTTAACCCTCAAATATGTATTTTTTTTCAGTTTTCAGAAGCTCATTCTCTTGTGCATCAACTACATGAGGATTTTACCAGGGAAAATATGGACTCACATTCAGTCAAATCAAAGAACATTAACATATCTAGTAAAGTGGACTTGCATATGGTGAAAGGTTTAGAAAATGAGCACTTTAATATCACACAAGTTGATAGTGAACGATCCCAAGACACCACATCATTAAACTCATTTGATCAAGAAAGCAGTTTGTCTGGAGAGGAGACTGAAACTGACCCCGAATTGAATTTGCGGATCTCTACACATCCTCAGGCTGTCACTCCAGAAAAGCTAGGGTTTTCAGGTCATATGACCACCTCTGACGAATCACAATCTGTAACAACAACATTTGTAGCAACACAGTCATCTGTTTTGCAGGCTTTAACGCCAACATCTATACCACCAACTCCTCTACCATTACCACTATCTGTAGCACCACCGAAATCGGTAGCATTTCTACAATCTGTATCATCACCACAATCTGTAGCAGCACCATCTGTAGAAAATCAATCTGTAGTGTCACCATCTGTAGCATCAACATTAATGGTCCCACAATCTAGGGTATCATTGGAACCAAATGGAAGGAAATTAGATGTAGGAAGTAATGACAGTAGCGGAAGAGTTTATCACAACACTCATGAAAACTCAACCATATCAAGCAATTGTTCCATAATTACCTCAGAAAATAGTGAAAGAGAAAGAGGAGTATTCATTTCAAGTTTTGAGAAGAATGTAATCCCTCTCGAGAAATTATCTGTTCAAAAACAATCACAGAATCAGAAATATGGCCAGGGATCAGATTTGACAAATGATTCAACAATGACAAATGATATGCCAGCACAGAAAGAAAAATCTTCCCTCAAGATTTACTATGAAGAAAACCTTAATCTAAAAGGAAGTGAAAAATCTGCAAGTGAAAATTTTAAACTCAAACCTGATACTCAGCTCAGTAAAAACACAGATGAAAATTCATTTTGGACTATGTTCTCTGACAACTTGTTGGGGACACCAGAGATAGACACAGACAGGATTAATCAGAAAGAAAAGAATTCCAGCTCAAACACCACTATATCTGAAAAACTATCTAAAAAGGATGATAAATTACGTTCAAACAACCAACTTGTATTTAATTTGTCAAAGCTTAAAAATAGTACCGACATTGTTTCAAATTCAAGTAATGAGAGAAAAGTTAATTCCTCAGATGACAACCGGAATCATCAGATTGAGGATAAAGAGCAACTGGATAACAGGTTGGATGTTCCAGCTCTGATTGGAACGAATAAGTTGGCATCTACAGAGAGCAAAAGAAACATGGAAAGGATTCCTGCCAATAGTGGATCTCAGAAGTCACAAGTTGAGGATAATCCTGATGAACCATCAACTGAACAAGATGAGAATAAACCTAGTGGAGAAATAGAGAACATAGATACGAACGGACGAAAACAACACCATTCCGTTAGCAATGATTCCCAGAAAAATGCACATAAAGAAGAAAACAAAAAAGATACATCTATTACGGTTGTTGGTGATTTATATAATAAACAAAAAACCGAGGAATCTAACCAAGGGTTAGTTGAAATGCCAAATACTGGTCGTAAATTTACTGCTCAGATGAAACTAAGTGCTAAGGATCAGCCTCAAAAAGTTAAGCCAAACAAATTGGAAAGACGAAGTTTTGAAGGTAAAGGCATCAATTTTTATGTTTTGTCATTATAACACAATACATTTGCAGACCCAATGGGTATTGGTTTAATCCCATAATGTTAATATGAAAAGTTGTCTATATCAACTTTTGGCTTCTAAAATTTGTACTTGCTTTTTATAAGTTACTGTTAAATTTAATTGCGCAAGTGAATTATATTGAATTATAATTTATTGTTTACTCAGAGGACTAAGAAAGGACAGCCAGTTAGATATTTAATTTTTGAACCTACTGCATATTTCTTCAATGTTATTTCATTGAATTTCTATTATTGTTCTTGTAGATTCATTTGAGTTGGATTTAGATGATTATGTAGAACAGAATGTGACCTCAATAGATACCTTTTCCAGCACTCACATATCTCCAGGTATTCTACTGTTGTTTATGAGGGGCATATACTTCACATATACTGTTCACATAAAAATATTTTTCATAATTTTAATATAATAAATATCATTCTAGGTTGTAGTTATTTATGTGTTTCTTCATATGTATTTTCTTCATCATAGTTGATGCTATCATCATCAGCAGCATAATTATCATCATCATCATTCATCATCAATTTTTAGTTTCAAATTTACTTCATCGAAACTTTGGAAATTATTAAGTATTGATCAGGCCCGTAGCCAAGGGGGTTTTTAGGGTTCGGGCAAACCCCCCTCTTTCCTGGCAAACCCCACCTCCCTTGAATATCCTGGATGAGTCCTCCAACTTAACTAATGCACTGCAGACCCACCCAGACAGAATGTTTTGCTGCAGACCTTTTTCAAACATAACTGCTTTTATAGCATTATTTAGACCCATACAGTAAAACACATAAATCCTCTCAGGCTACACTAGGGCCTATCGATGATTAATTAAATTAAATAGAACTTAAAATAATGTACACACACCCTCTCTTTACTCTCATACAGTGGCCTTCAGAGAAGCAGTTATCAATGGCAACCACAGGGTGGTTGAGCAAGCTCTGCGTTTCTCAGAGCACCTCGATCTAGAGATGTTGGATGAAAGCTGCAAGACACTTTTGATGTATGCTGTCGAGGGTCGACATGAAGGCATCGTCAGGTTACTGTTGATTAACAGGGCAGCTGTTAACAGGCAAGATAAAGATGGAATGACTGCTATTATGTATGCAGCAGAACAGGTGATTAAATAACTATTACCTAGTTAGTAAGGCTGTAAATTTAAGGCTGGCTCACACTATGTCAGCTGAGAATTAAGCTCTGCCCAGATTATCATATTTTCTGTGACTGAAAAAATTGTTGTATGCTCATATTTAATCAGATGTACCTATATATGGTCATGATGTGATGTCATCATTACCATATTTAGGCATGTCACATGTTTTAGTCAAATAAAATTTTATAATTTGGACAGGGCTTTATACAATAAATTAAAAATAACAATATTAATCAATCAACAGCTATTTGTAAAGCACCAACATCCACGTCAGAAACAATGTTCAGAAGTGCTATGACTTGGGATATGAAAGAAACATGAGATTTAATCGTATCCTTTAAGATAATAATAGAAGATGATGTTCTGATGTTGCTCAGTCTACCATTTTCTAGACCAATAATTAGCAGTCTACAGTAGGACATCAATCAAGGCTATTTTTGAAGGTGCCTGGCCTGAAGATGCTAAGCCTTAGTCTAGATAAACTCACTCTACTGACAATTGTCTATATCTTGTCTATTTCTCTTTCAGGGTTTCTATAACATAGTTGCGATTTTGATTGAAGCCGGAGCATACATCAACCTCAAACAGTCATCATCATCAGGAGAAACAGCCTTAATTAAGGTAATTAAAAAAGAAAACTAATGAGCTATAAAAAGGTATAATCAACGCAGGGAGCTCACTGCGGCCAACGTTTATTGGCCAACGCGATTCTATGGAGAACACAACGCGCGCAGTGGATCATGTTTAATGACCATCTGAGGCACGTTGTGGCAAAATGGCTAAGTTGTAGCAAAAATTGAAATTCAAGTTATTGGTATTTTCAGATACCTGAGTATGTGATCTTTAAAATGAGGGTCATTCATTGAAATTGGACATTTCAAGCCTAAGTTATTGGAAAGTGAAATTACAGCACTCTTAGAGTCAAGATAAACATGATTTTGAGTACAGTAGAACCTCGTTTTTACGTACCCCAGTTATACGAACCCTTTGTTTTACGTACGCCTCGTATGGACGATGACGTCATCAAAAACCCCAAAAATATTCAAAACAAACGGCCCTTTTGAGAGCAACCATAAGTAAAAAGAATATAACAATAAACAAACCATAATGCAACATATTTTCATTAAACAGCAACGTTGATTGAGTCTAAATACCGGGTTGTTATAATCTAAAACCACGTGAACTGAGTGAGATGAACAACTACTGATGGTGCTCAAAATTATTGCTTTCCTCCTTAGCTTCGTGTGGCAAACCATGGAAGAACTCGTCTGGTCGAATTTTCTACACGAAGCTGAGTAGACATAGTTTCGTACACGAACGCTAATTGGTTGGC